TATTTTTTTTTTTTAATTTTTTTTTCAACGTTTTTTATTTATTTTTGGGACAGAGAGAGACAGAGCATGAACGGTGGAGGGGCAGAGAGAGAGGGAGACACAGAATCGGAAACAGGCTCCAGGCCCTGAGCCATCAGCCCAGAGCCTGATGCGGGGCTCGAACTCACGGACCGCGAGATCGTGACCTGGCTGAAGTCGGACGCTTAACCGACTGCGCCACCCGGGCGCCCCTACCCTGACCTATTTTTGACAATCTACAATATTAGCGGATGGAGTAATGTATCCATTAAAGACTTTGAATTATGTGTGGAACATAATTGAGAGTTTTAAGAAAGGAGAACACAGGTTAGCAGTAGTTTCTTTCCACTAAGGCCAAAAGTAAGTCATTACTGCTAGTACTTGTACAGGATTTGAAACTATGTTGCTACCTCCCCCCCCCTTTTCTTTTCTTTTTTTTTTTTTCAACGTTTATTTATTTTTGGGACAGAGAGAGACAGAGCATGAACGGGGGAGGGACGGAGAGAGAGGGAGACACAGAATCGGAAGCAGGCTCCAGGCTCCGAGCCATCAGCCCAGAGCCTGACGCGGGGCTCGAACTCACGGACCGCGAGATCGTTCCCTGGCTGAAGTCGGACGCTTAACCGACTGCGCCACCCAGGCGCCCCCCCTTTTCTTTTTATATAGCGAATGGAATCCATTTCAGAGGTGTACTTCATAGAAGTCATTTAAGTCACTTCCTCTGCTGTTTCAGCCCTCAAAGGATCACCAGGGTGCAGGCAGTAGCATCCCTCATATTGCATTAAATTGCAGTCCCATGCATGGAGGGATAGGTGGGGACCTGGCAGTTCTCAGTGCCAAGTGCAGGCTTTTCTTGCCGTGTGTAGATTTCGGTTGTAAGGGCCGTTCTTGCTATGCCTGGATTTCAATGCTCAAGGTAGCTGTTCCTCAGCAACACTGTCCACATTTCAGTTACTAAAAGTGTTGTTAACTGTGAGTAATGGCAGGAAGTAGCAACTTTGCTGCCAGCTCTCCTGTCCACAAATCCCTACACGATACTGAGTGACCAACTGTCACTGAAAGTCTGGTGGTGGGTCGTGGCACATCTCAGTTCACGCACAGGTGGCCAAGGGTGCACTTGTGTTGCCTCTTAGCCTCCCAGGGATAAACCCACATGACATTTTACAAAAGTAGACAAAGGAGGATCAAGCAACAAAGAGGAAAGTGCAACAAGTAAGCGACCGTGATAAGGTTGGAAGTGACGTTTGAATAGGATGCTAGGATGCGAGTGGAGCCGCAGGAGAAACAGGTGACGAGAGAATGGTGACACTTGCTTTCTGGAGACTGGATACGCAGCCAGAGAAGGAGCAAAAGCGAGCCTATAGACACGATGAGGAAAAAGATGGAGATGTCCCAGAGGAGGGGACACTGGTAGCAAACTTCACGTTAAAGTGAAGTAAAATACCTCCAGGTGCTGTCAGCACAGAGCCTGCTTTGGTTCTTCTGTCCTCTCTCTGCCCCTCCCCTGCTCGTGCTCTCTCTCAAAAATAAACATTAAAAATTTTTACAAAGAATAAGAGATGGCCCTATCACTTCTCTCAGGAAATACAAGGGATTTAGGAACTCTATGTCAGGAACAGGGGACAAAGACCTCTATCTTTCTGTGACATCACAGGTCACCTCCTGGTTCCGTTCCAGCAAAACAATTATAATAGTTAAGAGATACTGGCACATTTCTAGATGCCCAAGTAGTCATTACTAATTAGTCATCATTGCATTGTATGAAAATGTATCCCAGGGGAAGGCCACTTGGATTTGCAGTCTTCCATTTGATCTGTCAGGTTCCAAAAGCAGGAGTGATCTCAGCAATAGATGGCTTTGCCTTTCAGGCATAACTCAAGAAGGGCCTAATGGAAGAGATACATGGAGCAAGGTATCGGAGGGAAGATGTGGGGCTGCCGTGCCCTCTTGGGCACGCCCCCTCCCACACCCTCTGTGTGTTCACCACAGAGAGATTGAGAGAGAGAAAGTGGGTGAGAGCAGGGAAGAGAGAGGGAATCCTAAGCAGGCTCCAATACGGGACTCAGTCCCACAACCTTGAGATCATGACCTGAGCCAAAAGACACTCAACTGACTGAGCCACTCAGGCGCCCCTCCCCCACCAGCACTTTTCTGGTAGGACTTCAAGTGGTACTTGAAGTGGGGGTCTTTAGAGCCATTTCATTTTTCCAGAGAGGAACCTTCCAGCTTCAAACCTGGGGTAAAAGCGCAATATATGTATGGACTAGGGGTTCAATCTTACTTTCACCGATCCTTGGTGGTGTCACACCTCACTCCTACCCTGTGTTTTACTTTGTGTCCCGGATCCTTGGGCTTTTCCCACTTCCCTAGGAGTAGACCTCCACTGTATGAGGTGTTACGTGTCTGGCTGGTGTGTGTGTTGAGGGGGGGAAGGGTCTCCCTACCAATGTCCATTTTCAGTTCCCCGCCTCACACCCCTGTCTCTCTGAGTCAGAGGTGTCCCATTCGGCATGTCCCATTTGCGATTTCCTCACCTTCCTCCATCAGCTTCCCATCTTCTAAATATGTCTTCAGTCTTCTTGGTAGCTGATGTTCCTCTCTCATTCTCTCTGTTGTGCATCCATACCTTTTTTGTCCTTTTATTATCCCTTATTGGGATCCGGGGAGGCAGAGGAAATACTGTATGCATCTTAAACTGGAATTCTGCTGCCAGTTTTAAGATTAAGGATATGAACCGGTGGACTTGGGCAGAAAGGAGAAATGTGAGACTCCAAATAGGAAAAGTCAGACTGAGGCTTCAAAATAATCTTTAGTTATCCAGGCAGCACACACATTGGGTATTAAAGACAGGGCTGCTGTCACCGCTGGGACACTACTTGTGGCGATCATCCTCTCCCAGGCTCCACATTTTAGCCTTGTACAGAGTGATGTCATTGTAGACCCTGAAGTGGTTCAGCCTGCGGTCACCACGTTCCGGGCTGACCTAAAGAGGAGAACACGGGTGTCAGAAGGAAGCTTCTGGAGAGGGGGGATGACATGGGTCCGTAGTTGGATGGACCCGGGCCCCAAAAGCACTGGAGGCTTCTCCTTGCTCAGCCTTGTTTGGGAAAAGGAGATGACAGCAATTGCATCAAAACAGTCGTAGGACTGAATGAGAGTACCTATATGCAACGTGGCTGCTCTTGCCTTTCCCAGGCTTGAGTTGGAGGCCACGCCTGTGGACTGCTGGAATGTATGTTCCACGAGGGCGAGTCCTGTATCTGTGGCACTCACTGCTTACCCCCAGCACCTAGAACAGTATCCAGCATGCACTAGGGATTCAGTACACATCTGTTGAATGAAGGAGTGGATGTTGTTGAAGCAGTCACACAGGGAACTAAGAGCAAGCACTCTGACACATAAATCTTACAGAAGCTAGAAGATTAACTTATGCAATTAACTGAAAGGATGCATTTTCATCAAATGTTACTAGGAGAGCAGAAGCTGAGAGGTATTCGAGTATGGCTTCCCCAGTGTCCTACTATTGGGATTGGGGTTCTCTGCTAGTGTAGGGTCAGGCCCTGCTAGGGGGTAGGGAGCCAGCCCTAAGGTAAGTTAGGCCTGATCAATTCTTCTGCCCCCAAATGTATCACTCTGGAACTCTGGCTTAATTGCCTTTTATGGTTGCAAAACACCTGGATCTAACTTTTGGGAGGAATACTTTCTTATTATGCCAGCAGTGCCATCTGATGGCATTGTAATGATGAACAGGCTTGACCTATTTGCAGACCCTTTGCAACTCCACAGTGATGGCTGGTCTGGCATGCACAGTTGGTTATCTGCGAGGCCTAGGAGGGTCCCCCTGGCCGGGACAGCCATACTTGTGCTTCCTGTCATGGCCGGGTGAGCCTGCCATGATATGTGCTGGTCAAAGATGCATTTCTGGGGGAAGGTCCGAGATGGCAGAGCAATATGGAAGTTTTTTGTGTCTCTTGTCCCTGAAATGCAGCTAGATCAACACCAAACCATCTTGCACACCTAGAAAATTGATCTGAGGATTAACTCAACAAGCTGCATAACTTAAGCCACAAACTTGACAGGTATGTGGTGCAGAGAGGTTAACTGGGGGAGAGAGAAGCCTCAGAGGGCAAGGAGCTGTTTTTGCTTGGAGAGAGAGGATGGAGACATGGGGTAGAATAGAGGAAAGGCACTCCTCCTGAAAGCATCTGGAGAGAAAGAGAAAGAGTGGAAACACCCATAAGGTAATTAACAATAAAAGGAGAAAGGAGAGGATTTAAATTTCATTAAGACTCTATAAACGGGGAGCACAGAGTCTGAAACTCTGCAGCTCGATACCTGATAGACCTCTGGTGGGAAGGGCGAATCCCCAGGAACAGACAGCGAGATCCAAGGGGTCCTTGGGCCACATGGGGAGAGGCAGTTCCCCAGCTGGGAGGACATTTGTTAGAGGTTGTGCAGCCTCCCCACAGGCAAAGGTTCCAGCAGACCCCGGAGAACAGCCACATTTGCTGGTGCTGGAACAAGGACGTTGAGGTGGTGAAGCCTGGTGCCAGATGTGTGTTGTGATTTTCCATAAACCCTGAAATGCTGCTGCTACACAATTGCGTGAACTTTTCCTGGGGTGGCTGGCACCCAGCCGCCGTCTCTGGGCAAATGCAGCGGCACGTTCATGTGAGCATTCCAAGGGGTGGCCAGCACTTGGCCACTACTCTGTGAGACCCTCCCCCAGAGCATCTGAATGGGTCAAAACCACAGGGCCCTCAGAAGTGAGGGGTTTGGAAACACAGCCCCGTCGAGATAAAACTCAGGATGGAGGTGCCGCCTGGCAGGCTGACGACTTGGTTAAGGACAGGGAAGTAGTGGGGAGTGGGTGGAGGCTGGAGACAAAGGAGGGGTGCTTGATTGCCAGTGGGCGAGCACAGAGTTCTGATACTAGAGACTGGGTAGCTGGGTGACACAATTTTCACCGCTCCTGCACATGCATATACACACGTGCCACAACAATCCACCCCAGTAAGCTAAGCAGCACCATCTAGTGGAGAAATGGAGTTGTTACACCAACCCCTGGCCAACTCACCAACTGTGCTCTAGAGGAACACAAGTCTCTCCACCTGCTTAGGTACAGACTATAAAGTACTTCATAGTTTGACTTTAGGGGAAACTGGATGTAATTTCCATTGTATTCCTTTCTGTTTGCCTGTCCATCTGTTCCACTTTTTTCTTTTTCTTTTCTTATTCTTGAATACAGAAAGAGAAAAAATTATTTTTATTTTCTGTTTTTATAAAAAGATTTTTCTTTAAAATTTTCTACTATGTTTTCTAGGGGTTTTTTTTTGTAATTTTTTATTATATTTTACTTTCATCATTTCACTTTATTCTGTTTTATTGTATTCATTTTTTAAAATTTTCAAGTGTTTTCTTTTTCTTTTTTTCTTTTCTTTCCCTTTTTCTTTATTCTATCAAGGTCCTTTCAACAACCAGACCAAAACACACCTAGGATCTAGCATCCTTTATTTGAGTTTTTTGTGTTGTTTTTAACTTTTAATTTTTATTTTATTAATTCTTTTCTTCCTCCAAAATGACGAAACAAAGGAATTCACCCTAGAAGAAAGAACAGAAAGAAATGACAACCAGGGACTTAATCAACAGAGACACAAGCAAGATGTCTGAACCAGAATTTAGAGTCACAATAGTAAGAATAGTAGCGTGGGTTGGAAAAAAGCATAGAATCCCTTTCTGCAAAGATAAAAGAAAATCCAGTCAGGACGAAATTAAAAATGCTATAACTGAGATGCAATCTCAAAGGGATGCCACAGCAGCAAGGACAGATGAGGCAGAGCAGCGAATCAGTGATATAGAGAACAAACTTATGGAGAAAAATAAAGCAGGAAAAAAAAGAGGGAAACTGAGGCAAAAGAGCATTAGAGAACTCAAATGAGAATTAGAGAACTCAGTGACTCATTAAAAAGGAATAACATCCAAAAAAAAAAAAAAAAGAATAACATTCAAATGATAGGGGTCCCAGAGGATGAAGAGACAGAAAAAGGGGTAGAAGGTTTATGTGAGCAAATCATACTGGAAAACTTTCCTAACCAGGGGAAAGACACAGACATCAAAATCCAGGAAGCACAGAGAACTCCCATTAAATTCAACAAAAGCCGACCATCAACAAGGCATGTCATAGCCAAATTCACAAAACAAAGGAAAGAATTATGAAAGCAGCAAGGGAAAAAAAGTCCTTAACCTACAAGGAAAGACAGATCAGGTTCACAGGAGACCTAGCCACAGAAACTTGGCAGGCCAGAAAGGGATGGCAGGATATATTCAATGTGCTGAAGTGCAGCAAGAATATGCAGCCAAGAATTCTTTATCCAGCAAGGCTGTCATTCAAAATAGAAGGAGAGATAAAGTTTCCCAAACAAAAACTAAAGGAGTTCATGACCACTAAACCAGCCCTGCAAGAAATTTTAAGGAGGACCCTCTTAGGGGAGAAAAGATGAAACAAAACAAAAAAGACCAAAAGCAACCAAGACTAGAAAGGACCAGAAAATACCACCAGACACTACAACTCTACAGGCAACACAATGGCAATAAATTCATATCTTTCAGTGCTCACTCTAAATGTCAATGGACTAAACGCTCCAATCAAAAGATATAGGGTAACAGAATGGATAAGAAAACAAGATCCATCTTTATGCTGTTTACAAGAGACCCACTTTGGACCTAGAGACACCTTCAGATTGAAAGTAAGGGAATGGAGAACCATCTATCATGCTAATGATCACCAAAAGATCTATCATGCTAATGATCACCAAAAGAAAGCTGGAGTAGCCATACTTGTATCAGACAACCTAGATTTTAAAATAAAGACTGTAACAAGAGATGAATAAGGGCATTATATCATAATTAAGGGGTCTATCCACCAAGAAGACCTAACAAATGTAAACATCTATGCTCCCATCATGGCACACTGAAATATATAAATCAATTAATCACAAACATACAGAAATTCATTGATAATAATACCATAATAGTAGGGGTCTTCAACACCCCACTCACAGCAATGGACAGATCATCTAATCAAAAAATCAATAAGGAAACAATGGCTTTGAATGACACACTGGACCAGATGGACTTAACAGATATATTCAGAACATTTCATCCTAAAGCAGCAGAATATACATTCTTCTCCAGTGCACATGGAACATTCTCCAGAATAGATCACCTACTGGGACACAAATCAGCCCTCAACAAGTACAAAAAGATGGAAATCATAAAGTGCATATTTTCAGACCACAACACTATGAAACTCGAAATCAACCACAAGAAAAGATTTGGAAAGCTAACAAATACTTGGAGACTAAAGAACATCCTACTAAAGGATGAAAAGGCTAACCACATTGTTAAAGAGGAAATACAAAAGTACATGGAAGCCGGTGAAAATGGTAACACCACAGCCTGAAACCTCTGGGACACAGGAAAGGTTGTCATAAGAGGAAGGTATATAGCAACCCAGGCCTTCCTAAAGAAGGAAGAAAGGTCTCAGATACACAACCTAACCTTAAACTTTAAACAGCTGGAAAAACAACAGCAAATAAAACCAGAAACCAGCAGAAGATGGGAAATAATAAAGATTGGAGCAGAAATCAGTGCTATTCAAACAAAACAAAACAAAACAAAACAAAACAGTAGAACAGATCAATGAAACCAGAAGCTGGTTCTTTGGAAGAATTAACAAAATTGACAAATCTCTAGCCAGTTTGATCAAAAAGAAAAAGGAAAGGACCCAAATAAATAATATCAAGAAAGAAAGAGGAGCAATCACAACCAACACTGCAGAAATATAAACAATAATAAGAGAATATCATGAGCAATTATATGCCAGTAAATCTGGAAGAAATGGAAAAATTCCTAGAAACATTTAAACTACCAAAACTGAAACAAGAAGAAATAGAAAATTTGAACAGACCATACCAATAAAGAAATCGAATTAGTAATCAAAAATCTCCCAAAAAACGAGTCCAGGGCTGGATGGCTTTCCAGAAATATTCAACCAAACATTCAAAGAAGAGTTAGCACCTATTCTTTTGAAGCTGTTCCAAAAAAATATAAATGGAAAACTTCCAAACTCTTTCTATGAAGCCAGCATTACCTTGACTCCAAAACCAGACAAAGACCCCACTAAAAAGGAGAACTACACACCAATTTCCCTGATGAACAGGGATGCAAAAATCCTCAACAATATATTAGCCAACCGGATTCAACAATACATTAAAAAAATTATTCACCACGATCAAGTGGGATTTATACCTGGGATGCAGATCTGGTTCAATATCTGCAAAACAAACAATGTGATTCATCACATCAATAAAAGAAAGAACAAGAACCACATGATCCTCTGAATAGATGCAGAGAAAGCATTTGACAAAATACAGCATCGTTTCTTGATAAAAAAAAAAAAACAACCCAAGAAAGTAGGGATAGGAGGATCTTAACTCAAGATCATTAAAGCCATATATGAAAGACCCACCCTATATCATCCTCAATGGGGAAAAACTGAGAGCTTTCCCCCTTAAGGTCAGGAACAAGACAAGGATGTCCACTCTTGCCACTGTTAGTCAACATAGTATTGGAAGTCCTAGCCTTAGTAATCAGACAACATAAAGAAATAAAAGGTATCCAAAATCGGCAAGGAGGAAGTCAAACTTTTACTCTTCACAGATGATGATACTCTATATGGAAAACCCCAAAGATTCCACCAAAACATTGCTAGAACTTATCCATAAATTCAGCAAAGTGACAGGATATAAAAATCAATGCACAGAAGTCAGTTGCATTCCTACACAATGCAATAGAAAGAGAAATCAAGGAATTGATCCCATTCACAATTGCACCAAAACCCATAAAATACCTAGGAATAAATCTAACCAAAGAGGTGAAAAATCTATACACTGAAAACTATAGAGAGCTTATGAAAGAAATTGAAGGAAACACACAAAAAGGGAAAAATGTTCTATGTTCCTGGCTTGGAAGAACAAATACTGTTAAAATGTCAATACTACCCAAAGCAATCTACATATTCAATGCAATACCTATCAAAACAACACCATCATTCTTCACAGAGCTAGAACAAACAATCCTAAAATTTGTATGGAACCAGAAAAGACCCCGAATAGCCAAAGCACTCTTGAAAAAGAAAACCAAAGCAGGAGGCATCAAATCCCAGACTTCAAGCTATATTACAAAGCTGTAATCATCAAGACAGTATGGTGCTGGCACAAAAACAGACACTCAGATCAATGGAACAGAATAAAGAACCCAGAAATGGACTCACAAACGTCTGGCCAGCTAATCTTTGACAAAGCAGGAAAGAATATCCAATGGAATAAACACAGTCTCTTCAGCAAGTGGTGCTGGGAAAACTGGACAGCGGCATGCAGAAAAATGAACTTGGACCACTTTCTTACACCATACACAAAAATAAACTCAAACTGGATGAAAGACCTAAATGTAAGATGGGAAGCCATCAAAATCCTCGAGGAGAAAGCAGGCAAAAACCTCTTTGACCCTGGCCACAGCAACTTCTTACTCAACACATCTCCAGAGGCAAGGGAAACAAAAGCAAAAATGAACTATTGGGACCTCATCAAAATAAAAAGCTTCTGTGCAGTGAAGGAAACAATCAGCAAAACTAAAAGGCAACCAATGGAATAGGAGAAGATATTTGCAGATGACATATCAGATAAAGGGTTGGTATCCAAAATCTATAAAGAACCTATCAAACTCAACACTCAAAAAACAAATAATCCAGTGAAGAAATGGGCAAAAGACACGAGTAGACACTTCTCCAAAGAAGACATCCAGATGTCTAACAGACACATGAAAAACTGCTCAACATCACTCATCATCAGGGAAATACAAATCAAAACCACAATGTGATACCACCTCACACCTGTCAGAATGGCTAACATTAACAATTCAAGCAACAACAGATGTTGGCGAGGATGCGGAGAAAGAGGATCTCTTTTGCACTGCTGGTGAGAATGCAAACTGGTGCAGCCACTCTGGAAAACGTTATGGAGGTTCCTCAAAAAGTTAAAAATAGAACTACGACCCAGCAATTGCACTACTAGCTATTTATCCAAGGGATACAGTTGTGCTGTTCTGCAGGGGCACATGCACCCCCATGTTTATAGCAGTGCTATTGACAATAGCCAAAGTATGGAAAGAGCCCAAATGTCCATCCACAGATGAATGGGTAAAGATGTGGTATATATGTATATATATGTAATGGAATATTTCTCGGCAATCAAAAAGAATGAAATCTTGCCATTTGCAACAATGTGGATGGAACTAGAGGGTATTATGCTAAGCGAAATAAGTCAGTTAGAGAAAGACAAATATTATATGACTTCATTCATATGTGGAATTTAAGATACAAAACAGATGAACATAAGGGAAGGGAAGCAAAAATAACATAAAAACAAGGAAGGGGACAAAACATAAGAGACTCAAATATAGAGAACAAACTGAGGGTTGCTAGAGGGGCTGTGGGAGGGGAATGGGCTAAATGGGTAAGGGGCATTAAGGAATCTACTCCTGAAATCATTATTGCACTATATGCTAACTAACTTGGAGGTAAATTAAAAATAGATAAATACATTTTAGAAAAGGAAATAAAAAAAATAGATGCATTTCTACATGCATACTTTGTACCCACGGGAGCCAGGCCTTTTGTCTTTAAGAAAATGAAGACTAACAAGCTAAATTACTTGTGCTTCGTAATATTTTTAAAGTTGCTTAATTATCTACGTTGGATAGTTTACCTTCACAACTCTCTGTCCCTGTCCTTATACACTGTATGTTAGTCCCCCACCCCTCCTCCTCCTCTGTCCCTTTGAGCACTGCTCTCCTGGGTTCAGTCCCCTTGTGAAGGGAGGCTCCTGCTGGACCCACTTCTTATCTCCCAGTCTCCTCTCTCTAGGGCAATGCCCCACCTCTGAGGAGGAGCCGTTGCAGCTATTTGCTAAGTCCTTCATTCATTCACTCATTCATTCATTATTACTCAGCTGTTTACTCCAATCTCCCCATTGTAGCGCCTCGGCAGAACCACACGTCCCAGACTAGAGCCGTATAAATAGGCGAGAAGACCAGGCCCGCGGCAGAAATTCAAGAACTACAGTGTGTAGGCAGTTCTTGGGAAGGTGCACACTAGAAAATTACTCAGTAGAGGAAGACATCTGGGATCAAACCAAGGGGCCAGGAGAAGCACCCCATTGGTCCTTGGTTGGGCTAAAGCTCTCCTTTCTATTCCTCCTAACCCACGTCATAGCAGCCCCCATTTATTGAACACTTACTATGTGCTGGGTACTGCCCTAAGCAGTTTATATACATTGTCTCAGTTAATTCCCACAACAAACCTTCAAGTGTCCATATTATTAACCCCATTTTAAGGTGGGTAAATGGAAGTTGAGAGGTTCAGTTTCCACAGCTAGAAAGTGGTGGAGCTGGGATTTGAACTCCAGCCGCTGGCACCAGAGCCACCATGTTACGTTGTTGCACGGAATTGAGCTGAATGGTGCAGGAGCAGGAGACATGTGGTGCTACAGAAACGTACCAGGAAGGTGCCCAACTCTACCTGGTGGGGAGTGGGGGGGCCCACATCCTTTAATGAGACTTTATAATGAGGTGACTCCTGAGTGGTCCTGAAGGCTGAGTAGAACTCCCCAAGGAGTACAGGCTAGGGATCAGCAGGCAGGCTGCAGGAGCAGTAAACTAAGGATACAGGGTGCGCAAGACCTTGGTGCCTTTGAGGAACAGTGTCTCCAGCTTCACATCAGGCGCGAAATATACAGATGGACTAAGAGCCAAGTGTTAAAAAGACACAACAACTTGGGGGGAAATCTAAAAGGAAAGCTAGTCATTTTGCAACTCTGGACAGTGAAGGTGTTTTCCTAAGCAAGGCACAAACCCCAGAAACTGTGAGGGAAAAGGCTGGCACATTTGACTACTTAAAAACTAAAACTTTCTAAGTGACAAAAGACACGAGCAAGTTCAAAGACAAACGTGGCCGGAAGTTCTTCAAATTCTCTGTTCGAAACCCTGCTTTTCTTCCTCAGTAACAGAAGCCCCAGCTCATGTTGGGTGACAATGTGCTGACGATTACATTTCCTGGGCTCCTTGCAGCTCCCGGTCCCCTTCCAATCAAATGAGGTGTGTGTTACCAGCATTCCCATTTTACAGATAAGGGAGTGGAACCCTGTGATGTTACGTGCCCAAGATCGCCCTAGTAAAAACTGGTACAGCAAACTCAGGCAGTCACCGGCAACTTTGGTCAACACTTACACGGCAGTTGCTATGTGTTAGGCACCGTTTAAGGCACCTTACAAATACAACCTCCTCTAATCCTCATAGCAAACTTATGAGGTGATGTCTGTAATATCTCCATTCTACAGTGAAGGAACAGAGTCAGGAAAGAGTTTAGTCACTTACCCAAGGTCACACAGCTAGGAAGTGGTAGCCAGAGTGGGCTCCCGAAGTAAACTTGGTAAGAGCCACACTTACCAAGGGCTCTGAGTCCCATCCGATCTCTTGGCTTTCAGTCTGTGTCTCTGGGTATTTCTTCCTTGGCCCCAGGGCAGCATGGTGAAGAAGATTTAGAAACCTGGCTGGGAGATGAGGCATGAGTTATGAAGGAGGCAGGCTTTGGGTCCGAGAGCTCCCATGCTCTTTACCCTGGCCACATCCTTCCTTGGAGATACGGCACATGGCCTCAGGGGCCTGCCAAGGCCTTGCAAAACTCATCTTTCAGCAAGTATTTGTTGAGCACAAACTCTGTGCCAGGCACTGTTCTGGACCCCAGAGGTAGAGCAGTGTGACAGTTATGGTTCGCCTTCTCCCGGAGCTTGTGGTCTAGGTGGGGGGATAGGGGACCCAATACACAAGGGGACAAATAAACCGGATGGTTATAGTGATGCTAGCTGTGTAGAAGGGGGGAGGCGAAGGGGCACGCAGAGGCACGGGGGGCTACTTTAGACAGGATGGTGAGGGGAGGTCTCTCTAGATGCCAAGCAGGGGCTGGCCCTGAGGGAGAGGCAGAGGAAAAGCACACTACAGGCAGCAAGAACAAAGGCACTGGGGCACGAGCAAGCTGGGCCAATGTGGCCGTGGTGGAGAAGAGGAGGCGGCTTGTAAGAAGGTCAGATCCTTCGCACGGTGATATATATGGCCGCCACCCCCACACGTATTTGTAACTCCACAGCTTGAGCACTTTAAAAGTTTCATTTTTCCATTTCTACCCTACTAAGTCTCAATTTGAGAGAGGCGGTTTGACCGTGGGAAGAACCTGGGCTTCGTAGTCAGGCATTCCTGGCCCTTCCACTACTGGCCTGACAGGTGGTTTAACTTCTCCAGGCCTCACTTTGCTCATCTGTAAGATGGAAGGCAAATATCTACCCCAGCAAGATGACTGAGGATGGATGAAGGAATGTTAATTAAGGGCTGGCATCGGGCTGAGCTTATCCTTAATATAAGCAGTTAGCGATCAACTGCTGCTTAGCTCTCAGGCCCCTCACCACCTGCTTTTTTCCTCATTGCTGCAAGCCCCCAGCTCCTCTCCTTTCCTCTAGCTGGGCTACAGATAGCACGCTTAATTCCTCTGCTGCTGCTCTATTAGTCTCTTGTCTGTCTCACTATGGTACGAGATCCTCCCTCCTCCTACCCACCCCCACCTTCCTACCCTGACCTCCTACATAAACCTTGCGTCTTTCCTCCATCAAATTCTACTCTAAGAAGGTAGAGGGGAGGAGGAGAGCTTGCCAGGAAGGATTAGGCTTTCCATCAAATTCTCTTCCATCCTTCCTGAGTGTGGCCCCGCCCACTTGTATATTGCAGCCATGCCAAACTACCCGCAGGTCTTGGGGCCGTGCTGGTGTCTCTCATTTCTGTGCCTTTCCATATAACTCAGAATGTCCTTTCAGTCTCCTTTACCTGACCTACTCCACCTCACCATGTTACTACCTCCTCCAAGAAGACTTCCTAGAACTCCACTGTTGGACTAGGGCACCTGTTTTCTATGTTGTTGCCACCTCAATTTTACTCTCAATTTCCTCATCTGTCTCCTTCACTATGGTATGAGGTCTCTACCCCGCAGATACTGTTCTAAGTACTTGCATTACTTTGTTATTCTCACAACAACCCTGAGAGATAGGTTCTGAGAAGTTAACAAATCTGCCCAAAGTCACGGCTAATGAGGGGCAGAATCAGGATTTGAACTCAGTATGACTTCAGAACCTCTGCTTGTAACAGCAAAGATGTTTGGTGAGTGGATGAATGGATACAGTGTCAAAGCCATTAGGAGCATTTTTCTTGGCTTGGCAATTAATGAACCTGCTGTATGGTTGAGTATGCCAATCTCCAATGAGCTTCATGAGCGTGAGCCCAATTTTCAGATGATCAAAGTGTTGCCCTAAGGTACCGCTATCCCAAGAAGCCTCCCTAGCCAGCTGCATATCTGTGCTCTATCTCAATGGTGTTCATAAGCCCTAGGACTTACCATCTTCAGGTTCCTCCAGGTTATCATGCCAAGACATGGGCTTTCTGGTGATTGTGTGAACTAGAGAAAAACAGCATCACAAGCTCATGTTAAAACATTCACACCCTGCCGTCTCAACGACCCACCCTAGGCCAGACACCTGCTGAGCATTTTCTGAGTGCTGCATGTCAGGTATTGTGCTGGGCACCAGGGAATAAGGCCCGCAAAGACCTCACAATCCAGAGAGGCACTGTCCAGCATAGTGGCCGCCAGTCACATGTAGCTACTTGAATTTGAATATTTGAAATTAAATACCAATTAGAAATCCATTCCATGGGCACACTAGCCACATTTCAAGGGCTCAGTAGCCACAGGGGGCTAATGGCTACCATTTTGGGCAGCATAGATATAGAACATTTTCATCATTACAGAAGGTTCTCTCAAAAAGCGGTGGTCTACAGGGATGTAGACATACCAGGCAGCCAAACAAGGTTGGACATGCACTGATATATCAGAAGACTATGTGAAAACAGAGGTGCAGAATCCACAGACATCCGTTCAACCCATAATTACTGTGCACTGGAGACAGGGCTATAAACAGAGAAAGTTCCTGTGCTGATCTTCTATTTGTGGTGACAGACAGTAAACAAATAAATATTTGGGCCAAAATAAGTGAGATATAATAAGTAAAGTATTTTACACGGGTAGAGAGTTGATGGTGGGATGGGGGGTGAGGGTGTCTCGTCTCTAAGGAGACATATTAGAGCAAAATTTCAAACAAAGAGAGGGAATGTGCTGTGTGAGGACATGTGGGAAGAATCTGAGAGTGAGCTTGGTGAGTTTGACAAACATCAAGAAGGCCAGAGTACTGCAGTGCAGTGAGTTAGGTGGAGGGCAGTAGGAAATGAGCAGAGGCCAGAAGGAACCAGTAGTCTCCCAAGTGATTTTTTATCTCAGACTCCTACCAGTAAAACCTTCCGAGCATGCGCCTAATACATGTATATTTATATAGTCTCTATATACTATAAGCAGTATAATTTTTCTTTACGCCTAAAAGTAAACATAAATACAAGTTCTAGCACAAATACAAGTTCTAATATTTCCTGACTTTGTCCCAATGGATCATATGAATCACGTGCCCAAGGGACAAGAGCCAGGAGATCTAGAAAGCCTGAGTGTTGCCTGAAGGGATTATTTAAATTGTGGGAATGGAACAAGTTTAAACAGAATTGGACAGTTAATTTGCATTCCTGAAATTAGTGGTTGGGAGCTCCAGAGGAAAACTAGATTAGTTATGAGCAAAATGAAGACATTACATTTTCTGTACTCTCACCACACACACACACACACACACACACACACACACACACACACACACAGGGTAACTGAGGAGATGGGTGTGCAGTTTAGCTTGACTGTTGTAATCATCTCACTCTGTATATGTATATCAAAACATCATGTTGTACATCTTAAATATATGCAATTTTTGTTTAGAAAATCACATTACATTTTCTCTGCAGAGCTGAGCTGCAGTGGACTACTGTTAATTAGGCCCGGAAGTTGGGGGAGAAATTCTGGAAGAAGAAATGATGGTACCGAAGCGGGGGAATAGTGTGATGTATTTAGGAAATCCATTCTATTTAGACATGGTGGGACAGAAGGGGGTGTGTGGCTGGTACAGAGTGGGCACTAAACTATTTATTAAAGGAGTAGTGTGTGGCTGGGGAGGGGAGTCCCAATGGGGCTGGGTGGGCAGCAGAGCCAGAGTCACAGGGGTCTTCTGTACTGACTGGTTTAAACCTCAGTTCAGAAGCTGTGGGGCCACTGAGGATTTTACAGAGGGAATGGTGGGATGGAACTCACTTTTAGTGTAGCTCCAGGAGGATGGAGGGGTGGGGGGGTGGGGTCAGGAGGGCTTGGAGGAAGAAGGTAGTTATCTCTCTCTCTCTCTCTCTCTCTCAGTGCAGACAGAAGTGAGGAGGCTTGGGGGTGGGGGGAAGAGGCTGGAGAGGTGGACTCAGGCCCTAATTAGAGGGTGGAAGGAAGTGAGAAGTAGAGATGCCTCCACACGCACCACAGTCTTTTGCTGAGGTAAGAACCCTGAAGGGTCAGGTGAGAGAGATGTGACCACTTCCACGTGTTTGGAGTGAGGGAGAGAGAGACTGAGGATGACTCAGTCTGACTGAGTCTTGCTCAAACAAGATATTCTGGAGTAGCAGCAGGTGGGGGAGAGGTGTGGATGCCCCCAGTTTTCCAGCTGGTGAGTCTGAGGTACTCATGGGTTGTCCAGGGGAAGAGAGCTGGGCAGTGGTTGGGTTCATGGGTCTGAGGCTCCTTTTGAGACCCAGAGTCATTCAGGGGCAGCTGATGTTACTGGACCAGATGCAACCATCCAAAGAATGTGCCAAGTGAGAAGAGTAGGGGCAGGGCTGTTTTATCGGGGGACGCTATGGGCCCTGAGTCCACCATCCCTGAACTTTCTGAAGGGCTAAGACATTACTAGAAGCCTGGAGAAAACAATCAAACAAACAAACAACTAGCTTATTAACAACAAACCAAAACACAGAGCAAGACAAAACATAAAATCCTACAGCCCCTCCAGTAACCCTCTGTTTGTTCTCCATATTTATGAGTCTCATGCTTTGTCCGCCTCCCTGTTTTTATATTATTTTTGTTTCCCTTCCCTCATGTTCAGCTGTTTTGTCTCTTAAAGTCTTCATATGAGTGAAGTCATATGATGTTTGTCTTTCTCTGACTGACTAATTTCACTCAGCATAATATCCTCCAGTTCCATCCACGTAGTTGCAAATGGCAAGATTTCATTCTTTTTGATTGCCGAGTAATACTCCATTGTATATATATATATACCACATCTTCTCTATCCATTCATCTGTGGATGGACATTTGGGCTCTTTCCATACCTTGGCTATTATCGATAGCGCTGCTATAAACATTGGGGTGTATGTGCCCTTTCGAATCAGCACTCATGTATCCTTTGGATAAATACCTAGTAGTGCAATTGCTGGGTGGTAGGGTAGTTCTATTTTTAACCTTTTGAGGAAACGCCACACTGTTTCCCAGAGTGGCTGCACCAGTTTGCAACACAAAAAATACTATTTAATCGCGGTGCGTGTGCATTTTAACATATTAATGTATTTGATGGGATGCAGAGTGAGATAACCCTCACCCCCAACAATCAAGAGCCCTGAAATCTAGGAAGGGGGGCGAGGTCTGCCCCGCACCCTCAAGGCCCCTCCTTCCTGCCCCTCCCCTGTCCCCTTCCTCTGCCCCAAGCGCCTCTCACCCTTGCGGAGGGGATTCACGCGGTACTCTGTGTAGAGTTTCTGGGTTCTAAGCTCTTTGAGGTACAATTCGCGCAGGATCTGGTTCTGATGGACCTCATCGATGATCACCTCCTTTTGGCGACCGGCCATGACTGTGGCGGGGCTCCGATCAGATCCGTCCAACTACTTCTCACTGCCCTGGATGGCTTGCGGGTGCGGGGAGACTGCCATCTCCTGGCAACCGCGTCCCACGCTGTCTCCAGGCAACGGCATCGCCTTCCGGCAACGGCGTCGCCTCCCTCGGACCCCCTCCCTCCCGCCCATCTCCCTTCCCCCATCTTATACTTTGCCCCACTTCCTTCCGAAGAACCACTAAGCTCGACTCACCTTTCCCAGCTTCTCAAGACCCTGGGTACTAGGACCGCCCCTGCATACCGTCAGGAAAGGATGCCGTCCAGCGGCAGACCCCGGAGGTAATGGGCTTGATTGATCCTCACCTTGGACAGTCATTTCCTAAAAAAGATTTTGGGAGGAGTCAGAAACCTCTCTCCTTTTAAAGCAGATGCCTAGACTCACAAAACAGATAAAGGTCTATCTCACAAAACAGAGGAAGTTCAAGTCTGACAAGTTATTCTGGCCCTTATCACCCATATGATACAGACAAGAACTCTTTCCTAAAATAAATAATTTGGGGGACTTTATACTTTATTTCGTTTAAAAATTTAATTGTGATAAAATACACATAACATAAAATTTACCACCAGAAGCATTTTCAAGGATATAGTTTAGTGTTAGTTTAGCGGTTCACATTATGTGAAACCAATTTCCAGAATTATTTCACAGCCATTAAGCAACTCCCCATGTCCCCCTCCCCCTAGCCTCTGGCAACTACCATTTTACTTTCTTTTTCTATGAATATGACAACTCTAGATACCTCGTATAATACAGTTTGCCAGCCCATGCACTTTTCAGCTAAGTGCTTCATGCATTGATCTATCCATCCATCCATCCATCCATCCATCCATCCATCCATCTATCCATCCATTCAGGACACAGTGTGGTCCAGGATGTGTTTAGGTCTGGGACCCAGTGTTGAACACATCAGTTATATGACATACCTGCAGTTTCCTGAGCCCAGCCAGCTACTTAATGGCTCCTTGTTTTAGCTCCTGCTGCTCCTTGCCCTTGTCCTGGAAGGTTCTTTCCCCCTTGTCTGTCTGGAGAACACGTGTTTATAATGAGCTCACATGTAATCTTTCAGAAACCTTTCTGGACTCTATAGCCCCTAGTCCAATTTTTTTCTGTGCCATGTTCTACTCCCAATCTGTAGTTCCTGGAATACTTTACTAAGCTTCTTTGTTTATAGGTAAGTTACTCGAGAATAAGAAATATATCTGGGCCATCTCTGTACTGCCAGTACCTGGCATAGTGTGGACAGATATAGGTGTTTGATAAATGTTTGCTAACTGATTGGATGTCTGATCAGTTAGTACTGTGATCTTCTGCTTACATCATTACATAAACCCTTACATGATAAAGAAACGCAAACACACTTTATCACACCATGGCTGAGCCAAAGAAGCCTTTGTTACTCATCATCGTGAGCCACACCTAGGTCCCTTTTTCTTTTTCTTTTAATGTTTTACTTATTTTTGAGAGAGAGAGAGAGAGGGAACCAGTGGGGGAGGGGCAGAGAGAGAGGGAGACACAGAATCCGAAGCAGTCTCCGGGGTCTGAGCTGCTAGCACAGAGCCCAATGGGGGGCTCAAACTCATGAACCATGAGATCATGACCTGAGCTGAAGTTGGACCCTTAACCAACTGAGCCACCCAGGTGCCCCTGGATCCCTTTTTCTAGCAAAGGCTCAAACAGCCTTCTAAAGATTTCACTACCAGGGTGCCTGGGTGGCTCAGTTGATTAAGCATCTGGCTTTTGGTTTCGGCTCTGATCGCGATCTCACAATTTCATGAGTTTGAGCCCCACATTGGGCTCTGTGCTACAGCAGGGAGCCTGCTTGGGGGTCTCTGTCTCCCTCTCTCTCTGCCCCTCCTCCACTCACACTATCTCTGTGTCTCTCAAAATAAACAAATAACTTTTAAAAAAAGTTTTCACTACCTTCCTAAGCCTAAGTAGAGATGAACCATCATTCTAGAAGTATTTGTCCCCTGCTAAACTGACCTTTCTTCAGCTTGGACCCAGTGGTCCAGGATCCATTCCTCCATACAAGGCTAGGGCTAGGGAGAGGCTCAGAAGGAGGAGAGGTGGGAGTCACTGTAACTTTATCTCCTCTCCACTCCAGTCCCACATTATTATGTTTCCCAGGTGCCCTGATATGGATTCTGAGCACATCACAGACCAGCCCACTACAGGCTAGCCCAGTGACTCTCTGGGGCTACCTTCTGCTTACCTTGGGCCATTGCAAGCCATCAGTGTGCTTCTAAACTCCCCGACTATGTATTGAAAAAGCTGAAGAGGTCTGGCCCTCTAGTTTCTCATCCAGTGTCTGAGGTTGCAGATTTCTCTTGAAATCTCTGTGTTACCATCTCAATTGGAAGCAGATGCAGAGACCTAGGTCACGGAAACCAACTAGAAAAATATAATAGAAAATGCCATTCACAATAGCAACAAATTGAATTATCTAGGAGTTAACCTAACAAAGAATGCATGAAACTTTTATGAAGAAAAAAAGTAAAAATAGGTATCCCGATCACACAAAATGTCTTAATAAATAAAGAGCTATACATTGTATGCTGGTGAGCTGTTATGCACCAGTTAGAACCACAAATTAGATCACTGCAGTTGTAAGGCAGACCTTAAAACAGGGCTCATTGAAAAAACTATCAAAGGCTAAGGTTTAAGTGTGGAGGTTCCTCAAAAAATTACAAATAGATCTACCCTATGACCCAGCAATAGCACTCCTAGGAATTTACCCAAGGGATACAAGAGTGCTGATGCATAGGGGCACTTGTACCCCAATGTTTATAGCAGCACTTTCAACAACAGCCAAATGATGGAAAGAGCCTAAATGTCCATCAACTGATGAATGGATAAAGAAATTGTGGTTTATATACACAATGGAATACTACGTGGCAATGAGAAAGAATGAAATATGGCCTTTTGTAGCAACGTGGATGGAATTGGAGAGTGTTATGCTAAGTGAAATAAGTCATACAGAGAAAGACAGATACCGTATGTTTTCACTCTTATGTGGATCCTGAGAAACTTCACAGAAGACCATGGGGGAGGGGAAGAAAAGGTTAGAGAGGGAGGGAGCCAAAACATAAGAGACTCTTAAAAACTGAGAACAAACTGAGGGTTGATGGGGGGTGGGAGGGAGGGGAGGGCGGGTGATGGGTATTGAAGAGGGTACCTGTTGGAATGAGCACTGGGTGTTGTATGGAAACCAATTTGACAATAAATTTCATATTTTAAAAAAAGGCGAAGGTTTAAAGTATAATCCTATTACTTAAAACTACAAACAGACCAACTCTATATGGTACAAGATGGAGTCTACATGGTACAGAGTGGATGTAGGAGATTGGAGAGGCAAAACAGAGGGTAAAATAAGAAAACAAGACTTTTCCTTCTGGGCTTGCTCTCCTGCTGCAAACAACTAGGCAAATGCAGACCCTGGGCACTGAGTGGCGCTGGACTGTGATTCCTCGAGAGAAGGGGGACAAGTGAGATGAACCCTACAGTCGCTCCACATTTCTCTCTGGAGACACTTTCTGAAATATGCAGGGAAGGGAATCCCAAGCTGAGCAGGTGATACTGGCTGGTTGGGGAGACACAGACTGAGGTTCAGGAGTGTGAGGCAGCTAACATTTTGTGGAGCAGGAAATTGGAGGGGTGGGGGAGAGAGGGAAGGAGAGCCAAAGATGTGCATGGAAACCCCTTGAGTCTTGCCTGATACTAAGAAGGGCGAAACTCAGTGAAGTGACTGGGGAGCTGTGAGCCCAACACCACCCAGAGCTCATATAGGATGGAGAGAAGAGTGAGTTCTGGCCACACAGGGTAGAGAGTCCTAGTTGAAGGTGTTGGGTAGAGGCCCCCGAAAGTTTACACTTTAGTAATAGGACTAAGCTAGCTTTAGAGAAAACGTTGGTCTAGCCTTTCCCCAACAAAGTTCACAAACAAGCTCTGAAAGTACCAAATGGATCCACAAATGGCCAAGTGGCCTGCCAGAAAGATTTCCAATACCTTTTAAAGAAAACAACAGCGGTGTCTGGGTGGCTCAGTCGGTTAAGCATCTGACTCTTGATTTTGGCTCGGGTCATGATCTCAAGGTTCGGGAGTTCAAGCTCTGAGTGGGGCTCCACACTGATAGCATGGAGCTTGCTTGGGATTCTCTCTCTCCCTCTTTCTTACCCTCCCTTGCTCATGCTCTCTCTCTCTCAAAATAAGTAAATAAAACTTAAAAAAAAAAGACAACAAAATCCAGCACTCAACAATGTTTCATTCCCAGGGGGCAGCACCAATAGAAAAGTATTAGAAAAGCAGACAGTTAAGAAGTAGGAAAATGTGACCCAGAGCCAGGAGAAAAAGCAACAAACAGAAATTTGAAAACTTAGATGAAATGGATAACTTCTGTGAAGGCATAGATTTCTAGAACTGACAAAGATAGAAAAAAAAAGGAAAAGAGAAGAAATGGAAAATCTGCATTGCTTTATATCTATTTTTAAAAATTCAGTTTGTAATTGAAAAATTCCCCACATGGCCCAGATGGCTTCTCTGGTCAGCCTGTCAAACATATGCAGAAAAATACCATTCCTACACAAACTCTTTCAGAAAACAGAAGTGGAAGAAGCATTTCCCAACTCATTTTTTTTTATGTGCTATTTTAATTTTTTTAACTGAAAAATGTTAAGTAAGCGCCACCCCCCCCCCCCCAATGTGGGGCTCGAACTCATGACCCTGTGATCAAGAACTGCATGCCAGCCGGGCATCCCATTTCCTAACTCATTGTGAAGTCAGCATTACATCAACACTGAAACCAGGCAAATTATTACAAAAAGCAAGACTAAAGGTAAATAACCCTCATGAGCATAGATGTAAAAATCCTTAACTAAGTATTAGAAAATTGTATCCAGCAATATATGAAAAGAATAATATACCATAGCCAAGTGGGGTTTGTCGAAGAGACGTAAGGTTGGTGTAGTATTTGGAAATATCAATTCACCATATTAACAAATAAAAGAGAAAGACCATATGATGCCCTCTCTACATTTGGCAATGGGGAGGGAAGACAAAAGGAGAGAGCCTCTGGGTCCTTTGTGGGAGCCCCTTGCACCTCCTGCCTGACACCACGACATCAGAACTCAGTTATAAGTTAGGGATTCTCAATAAGCACTCATGTTTCAAAATCAAAACAAAACCTTTTTATGGTGAAACATTGCACGTACACAGCAAAGTGCTTTCCTCCGAAAGGGGCAGCTCATACTGATTCAGCACAAAGTACATCCGTGTAACCATCTCAGAAGCTGACACTAGAACACTAACACCATCCCAGAGGCCTCTCTCACACCACCCCCCACCCCCTGAACACTGTCTTCCCTGTTCTCCTCAAAGGTAACCACTATCCTGATGTGGAACACCAAAGATTACTTGCCCTGTTTTTCACATTATATAAATGGAATCATATGGTACACATACCTTTGTGTTTGACTTCTTTTGCTCAACATTATGTTTGTGAAATTCATCTATGCTGTTGTGTGTAGCTGTGATTTCATTGCTGTGTACTGTTCGGTTTTGTGACTATACCACAATTTACTCATTCTACTCCTGATGGACATTGGGCTGTTTCAATATGGACTCTTACAAATACTGCTGTGTGCACATTTTTTAATTTATTAAAAAAAAAATTTATTGTTTATTTTTGAGACAGAGCATGAATGGGGGAGGGTCAGAGAGAGAAGGAGACACAGAATCCGAAGCAGGCTCTAGGCTCTGAGCTGTCAGCACAGAGCCTGACGTGGGGCTCAAACTCACAGACCGCAAGATCATGACCTGAGCCGAAGTCGGAAGCTCAATCAACTGAGCCACCCGGGCGCCCCTTGGGTGCACATTTGTTATAGATGTCTCTTGGTGCACATGTGCCAACATTTTGTTGGCCATATACTTGGGAGTCCATCCCATTATGGTTTTAATTTGCATCTTTCTATTGACTAAGGAGATTGGCCAACTTTTTTGGTATGCTTATTGGTCATTTGGACATCATCTTTATGAAGTTCCTGTTACAAATCTTATTCTATTTTTCTTTTGGATTGTTTGTCTTCTCTTTATCAGTTTGTTGGAGGTCATCATGTATTAATGATATAAACCTTTTGGAAGTTGTATGTTCTACAAATTCTTTTCCCGCTGTACCGTTTGCCTTTTTAGTCTCTTAATAATGTTGTTTTGATAACTTGAAAGACACTTTGTAGTATCTTCTTAAAATTTAAATATGGTCAAATATATCAGTTTTTCCCTTTATGATTAGTGCTTTCTAAGTGCCATTGGAGACATTTTTTTCTACCTGATGTTGTGAAGATATTTTCTTATATAACCTTCAAATCAGGACTGTCCAATAAAACTCTGAGGCAAGCCACACAAGTAATTTAAAATTTTCTAGTATCTAATTAAAAGAGCAAAAAGAGGGGCACCTGGGTAGCGGGTTAAGCGTCCGACTTTGGCTCAGGTCACGATCTCGTGGTCTGTGGGTTCAAGCCCTGCATCAGGCTCTGTGCTGACAGCTTAGAACCTGGAGCCTGCTTTGGATTCTGTGTCTCCCTCTCTCTCTGTCCCTTCCCTGCTCACACTGTCTCTCAAGAGTAAAGAAACATTAAGAAAATTTTTTAAAAATAAAAGATCAAAGGGGCGCCTGGGTGGCTCAGTCGGTTGAGCATCCGACTTCGACTCAGGTCATGATGTCACAGCTCGTGAGTTCGAGCCCTGTGTCAGGCTCTGTGCTGACAGCGCGGAGCTTGAAGCCTGCTTCGGATTCTGTGTCTCCCTTTCTCTCTGCCCCAACCCACTCACATTCTGTCTCTGTCTCTCTCAAAAATAAATAAACATTAAAAAAATTTTTTTAATAAAAGAGCAAAAAGAATTCAATTAATTTCAAAGATGTTTTATTTAGCCCAGTATATCCAAATTCTCATTTCAACATTTTAATTTAGAAACTATTGAGATATTTTATTGTTCTTTCATACTAAGTGTTTAAAATCCAGTGCACCTTTCATACTCAATAGCACATCTCACATGCTCAATGGCCATGTATGACAGAACAATTCTACATGATTTATTTTTACTCTTTAATATTTAGATGCATCTTTTACCTGAAATTGATTTTTGTTGTAGTATGTGATAGGAATCTAGCTTAGTTTTTTCCGTTTGACTATCCAATAGACCAAGAACCAATTTATTGAAAAGATAGTCCTAGCCCCCTTGTTCTGCTATGATACTTTTATCTTAAGTCAAGTGTCCACATATGTGTAAACCCGTTTCTGGATTCTTTTCTATGTCACTTGTCTATTGGTTTATGCTTGTACTACTGCTATACTATCTTAATTACTATTTTTGTGATAAGTCCTGATATCTGGTAGGAAAATTGTTCCTACCAGTTCTTAAGAGAGTCTTGGCTATTCTTGGCCCTTTTGCCATCCAAATTATAATCCATCCAAATTATAATCAGCTTGTCAAGTTCCCTAAAAATGTTTGTTAGGATTTTGGTTGCGAATGCACTGAATCTATGATTAGTTTGAGAAGAAAGAGCACTTTTAAGAAAATATATCATCTGTTCATCTGATGCTCTCATCTGGGTAGGATCTGGACGTGTCCTTGCCTTCTAGGCTCTGCTACCTGCCATATTCTGGGGTATAGAGGTTCAGCCTTCAGAGTTTGGATGAGAACACAATGGAGCCCCGCCACCTGACACACCCATCATCGTCTTGCAGGAGGCATTTCTCAAAGGCACAAAGTCCCTGGCAAGTTTCTACAGTCCGAGTATGTGGAGAAATAGAGTCTTGGAGGAACCAGACCAAAAACCTTAATCCCCCATATATCTATAATAGGGGCCTTGTGTTCTGTGTGTGAGTTCTTAGGGGATCATCCATTCTTGCATTCACTTTAATCTAGGGCAGATCAATAGGATTTACCTCCTAGAGATCAGATTAGATGTTTTCCACTCACTCTTCTCTACTTTCTGTCTCTGGTCTTGCTATTTGCTCCGTGGTCACAGACCAAGTTCTATGGAGAAGCAAGTGACAAATGTAAAAGCTCACTCAGGCTGGCTTATCAGATAAGAGAGGAAAGTAACAGATTCTCTAGAAAAAGGATCCTATTAAACGTGTCTCTGGCATCTGAAGAGGATTGACAAGGATGAAGGCAAAATACAGACAGTAGTAAGATGTTCAGGTTATGGCTGAAAAACACCATCATGGAAAAGGGGTCCTGTAAATAACTGAGCTTACCCTCCAAAATGGATGTTGGCTGGCCATTCTCTCAAATTCCCGATGTTCATCAGGTCAGGCTCCTGGGGATCCACAGTCCTAGCACCTATGGACTGTACCAGAACTGTCCCACTTGCTGGGAAACCATTCCTCCAGGATGAGATTTGTGAATCATGGAGGTCTGGTTGGGGCTGGTTGGAGTGCTGGGGAGAACCCGACTCCAAGGATATAGAAAGAAGGGCTAGGAGGGGGAGTAGGAGCCAAGACAAAACAGTAACAGGAAAGAGGTGCGAGGTGAACAGAGCGGCGAGGGGGTGGTCTGGAAGGAACAGAGGAAGAGCTGGGCAGGGAAACTGGTAAGGTAGGGTAGCAAGAAGGGATGACTCTAGTCAGAGGTGGGAAAGAGGTGGGGCTGTAAACTGAGGGAAGTGGATGGCACTGGGGAACAGTCTGACAGCCAGAAGTTTTCGGAGGCAGGGGAGGAAGATGCGTTGGGAAACGAGAGTATGAGGGGACAGAGCGGGAAGTTGTATGCTGGGGCTGAGATGAGGAAATCGGGGGCAGCTTTCTTGTCATTTTTCCAAATGGCATTTCTCTAGCTACTCGTCTTGGCATAATGAGCAACTGGGCACAAGCTCAGACCTACCCCAGCATTTATCTCACAAACCAGCCATCACATCATCCCATGGCTCAATGCCCATTATGACATGTGTGTCCCCCTCCCTTTGGGTAAGTCAGCATGCTCACCAGCCAGGGAAATGGCCCCAGTTGCTAGGTTGGAGAATTGATCACAGGAAATAGCAGAGAGAAGAAATGGGGCTGTAGCATTAGTCTGTGTTCCTTGGGATAACATGTAGCTTTGCCCCTCACTACGCCAAGATGGATCAAAGGGCTATGACACAGCGAGGGACTGGGGACCAAGAGAACGGATCTGAATCAGGAGTGGGCAAAGTGAGGAGAAGTCACAGTGCCTCCAGCTATTTAACTTACTACATTTTCCAAAGCCCTTTCACATCATTTATATCTCTCCGTGAATAACAGGTGATCAGAGATAGTATGTCCATTTTACCAATAAAGATACTGTAGGCCAGGCAAGGAGCTATACGGACAGGCAGTGGGTGACAAAGCAGGTGTGACTGAAACTTGAACCAAAACTTGAGGCATAGGGGGGCATGCAGGCGGGGGCACAAAATAGCACAGAGCACTGTCAGTCAGCATGACCATCTCCCATGTTTCTGGACAGGATCTTGTAGGGTTGTTTCAGAACAGAACTTTACAGTGCAGCTTTCCTCTTGGTCCCTGGGGTCCCTTGGTTTGTTGCCTGACCCTTGCCTGGAGCCAGGAACATAGGACTGAAGCCAATAACTCTTGAGTGCCTAATAATTAGATTTGGACTTTCTTGCTTACTACCTGAGACGTCCAGCTGCATGTCAGATGATTTAGGAGGCTACTATACCCTTCCCCTTCTCTTCCTCTTGTCTGATGTAGCAATTCTGTCTGCTTATCATTCTTGGTTTCTTTGATCATCACCCAAATCATAAGCTCCTTTGGTTTTCTATTCTCTTCTGTATTCTTTAAAAATTTTTTTAATGTTTATTTATTTTTGAGAGAGAGAGAGAGAGAGCGAGCGAGCTGGGGAGGGGCAGAGAGGGAAACAGAATCCAAAGCAAGCTCCAGGCTCTGAGTTGTCAGCACAGAGCACAATGTGGGGCTCAAACTCACAAACCATGAGATCATGACCTGAGCTAAAGTCAGAGACTTAATGGACTGAACTACCCAGGTGCCCCAATTCTCTTCTGTACTCCTAACACCATAATATGCTCAGTTTTCTCCTTTGGTCTAACATCCATGCTCTTGCATACTTCACAAAACTATCAGCTGTATTCTTCGGAAGTCCAGCAACATGACTGGAAAACCTTCTGTTTCCTCAGACTGTTTCTTTATTTCCTGTCCCTTGAATCCCCTGGCTTTAACTGTAACCTGGATTTTCCTACAGGAAACTGCTTCCCTTGCATATGTCTCCTTCTCTCAAACTCTGCAATTCTTCAGGGGGAATGTGGTGTGTTTTCCTTGTTCCTTCTGTCTCCTTTCAAGCCATTATTCTTCTCTTCCTATTAGAAAAGTCACTCACTCCTTAGAAGTTTTTGCTACTTACCATTTCCTTGGCATTGTTACCTTCAGATTTGTGGATAATTTTTTTTCTATGAAAATTTTGCACTTGTCTCAAAGTCTTAGTCTTGAGTACATCATCTTGAGTGACTTCAGTGCCCATATAGATGACCCCATTCAGTGGTCTGACCTCCTTTCTTTCATTCCTTTATCAATAAAGGAATTTTATTGATACATTCTACTTTAGCCATAGCCATACCTGGTCTTTTCTATTGCCAAAGAATTATACCACCTCCATTTTCTTTCTTTTTTTAAAAAATATTTATTATTTTGGGGAGTGCATAAGAAGAGGGAGGGCAGAGAGAGGTGGACAGAGGATCTGAAGTGGGCTTTCTGCTGACAGGCTGACAGCAGCATGCCAGATGTGGGGCTCAAACTCATGAACTGAGAGATCATGACCTGAGCCAAAGTCGAAGTTGGACACTCAACCAACTGAGCCACCCAAGAGCCCCAGACATTCCATTTTCTGACCACTACTTCCTCAACTTACAGTGTAATCACTCAATTGCTCCCCTTCACTGGGACCTACAGCCACTGGCTCTTTCTTTTCATTAATTCTGATTCCTATGTTATCTTTATTTTTGTCATTACCCACTTCAGAATCTATGATTCATAATTTCAATGATTTTCTCTTTTTCTTAAAATTTTTTTTAATGTTTATTTATCTATTTATTTTTTCATGTTGTATTTTATTTTATTTTATTTTTTAAATTTACATCCAAGTTAGTTACCATATAGTGCAACAATGATTTCAGGAGTAGATTCTTTAAGGCCCCTTACCCATTTAGCCCATCCCCCCTCCCACAAACTCTCCAGTAACCCTCTGTTTGTTCTCCATATTTAAGAGTCTCTTAACTTAAAAGACTCTTAAAGAGTCCATATTTAAGAGGCTCTTAACTTAAGAGACTCTTAAAGAGTCCATATTTAAGAGGCTCTTAAAGAGCCCCTCCCTGTTTTTATATTATTTTTGCTTCCCTTCCCTTATGTTTGTCTGTTTTGTGTCTTAAAGTCGTCTATGAGTGAAGTCATATGATTTTTGTCTTTCTCTGACTGACTAATTTTGCTTAGCATAATACTCTCTAGTTCCATCCACGTAGTTGCAAATGACAAAACTTCATTCTTTTTGATTGCCAAGTAATACTCCATTGTATATATACCACATCTTCTTTATCCATTCATCCACCAATGGACATTTGGGCTCTTTCCATACGTTGGCTATTGTTGATAGCGCTGCTATAAACATTGGGGCATGTGCCCCTTTGAAACAGCATACCTGTATCCCTTGGATAAATACCAAGTAGTTCAATTGCTGGGTTGTAGGATAGTTCTATTTTTAGTTTTTTGAGGAACTTCCATACTGTTTTCCAGAGTGGCTGCACCAGTTGCATTCCCACCAGCAGTGCAAAAGAGATCCTCTCTCTCCACATTCTCACCAACATCCGTTGTTGCCTGAGTTGTTAATATTAGCCATTCTGACAGGTGTGAGGTGGTATCTCATTGTGGTTTTGATTTGTATTTCCCTGATGATGAGTGATGTTGAGCAGTTTTTCATGTGTCTGTTAGACATCTGGATGTCTTCTTTGGAGAAGTGTCTACTCGTGTCTTTTGCCCATTACTTCACTGGATTATTTGTTTTTTGAGTGTTGAGTTTGATAGGTTCTTTATAGATTTTGGATACTAACCCTTTATCTGATATGTCATCTGCAAATATCTTCTCCCATTCCATTGGTTTCTTTTAATTTTGCCGATTGTTTCCTTCGCTGCACAGAAGATTTTATTTTGATGAGGTCCCAATAGTTCATTTTTGCTTTTGTTTCCCTTGCCTCTGGAGACATGTTGAATAAGAAGTTGCTGCAGTCAAGATCAAAGAGGTTTTTGCCTGCTTTCTCCTCGAGGATTTTGATGGCTTCCCATCTTACATTTAGGTCTTTCATCCAGTTTGAGTTTATTTTTGTGTATGGTGTAAGAAAGTGGTCCAAGTTCATTTTTCTGCATGCCGCTGTCCAGTTTTCCCAGCACCACTTGCTGAAGAGACTGTCTTTATTCCATTGGATATTCTTTCCTGCTTTGTCAAAGATTAGTTGGCCATACGTTTGTGAGTCCATTTCTGGGTTCTCTATTCTGTTCCATTGATCTGAGTGTCTGTTCTTGTGCCAGTACCATACTGTCTTGATGATTACAGCTTTGTAATACAGCTTGAAGTCTGGGATTGTGATGCCTCCTGCTTTGGTTTTCTTTTTCAAGAGTGATTTGGCTATTCGGGGTCTTTTCTGGTTCCATACAAATTTTAGGATTGTTCTAGCTCTGTGAAGAATGATGGTGTTGTTTTGATAGGTATTACATTGAATATGTAGATTGCTTTGGGTAGTCTCAACATTTTAACAATATTTGTTCTTCCTATCCAAGAGCATGGAATCTTTTTGCATTTTTTTGTGTCATCTTCAATTTCTTTCATAAGCTCTCTATAGTTTTCAGTGTACAGATTTTTCACCTCTTTGGTTAAAACTATTCCAAGGTATTTTATGGTTTTGGTGCAATTGTGAATGGGATTGATTCCTTGATTTCTCTTTCTGTTGCTTCATTGTTGGTGTGTAGGAACGCAACCAATATCTGTTCACTGATTTTATATCCTGCAACTTTGCTGAATTCATGGATCAGTTCTAGCAGTTTTTTTTTGCGGAATCTTTTGGGTTTTTCATATAGAATATCATATCACCTGCGAAGAGTGAAAGTTTGACCTCCCCCTGGCTGATTTGGATGCCTTTTATTTCTTTGTGTTGTCTGATTACTGAGGCTAAGACTTCCAATACTATGTTGAATAACAGTGGCGAGAGTGGACATCCTTGTCTTGTTCCTGACCTTAAGGGGGAAAGCTCTCAGTTTTCCCCCATTGAGGATGGTATTAGTGTTGGGTCTTTCACATATGGCTTTTATGATCTTGAGTTATGATCCTCCTATCCCTACTTTCTTGGGAGTAGGAATCCAAGAAACGATGCTGTGTTTTGTCAAATGCTTTCTCTGCATCTATTGAGAGGGTCATGTGGTTCTTGTCCTTTATTTTATTGAGGTGGTGAATCACATTGATTGTTTTGCAGATATTGAACAAGCCCTGCTTCCCAGGTATAAATCCCACTTGGTCGTGGTGAATAATTTTTTTAATGTATTGTTGGATCCAGTTGGCTAATATCTTGTTGAGGATTTTTGCATCCATGTTCATCAGGGAAATTGGTCTATAGTTCTCCTTTTTAGCGGGGTCTTTGGTTTTGAAGTCAAGGTAATGCTGACTTCATAGAAAGAGTTTGGAAGTTTTCCTTCCATTTCTATTTTTTGGAACAGCTTCAAGAGAATAGGTGTTAACTTTTCCTTAAATGTTTGGTAGAATTCCCCTGGAAAACCACCTGGCCCTAGACGCTTGTTTTTTGGCAGATTTTTGATTACTAATTCGATTTCTTTACTGGGTATGG